CCCTTATTGAATGACAGTAAACCAAAAGGCGTCTTCCATGGGTACGAACCCTCCCTCGAGCACAATACTTAACCACAAGGGGCTTCCATCAATATCGTGAAGGTTTAGATGCTTTCGAAATCAATGGCCATATTTGATTCCATTACTAACTCCACTGGTATATTATTTTGAGAACAAAGCTGAGTTTGTTTGCAATGACTGGGGGTAACACTTTTTAAAGTGTTCAGTGATTTTTCTCATGGATGCCCTGCCTCCAGTATAACGTAAATATTTGAAGCATCAAAAAAAAAATCTGGAATAAGAATCACGTTTACGCCCTTATGCTCAGTTGGGTTGTTTTTAGTAAACGGAATAAATAAGAAAAAGTAAGAAAAAAAGAAATCAAGAAGGACAGCTATCCTTAATCGTTGTGACTCGATATTAAATCAAGTGGTCCAATGATTGCAACGAAATAAACATAAATTTGATCTTAGCATCATTTAATTGGTGCTATAATGCGCTAGAATGGAAGAAAACACTTTTCATTGATATTTAGTTTCGAGAAAGAAATTCCACATGCATAAAACAACGAATCATGAAAGTGAAATACCTACATTACCTATTCAAATATTATATCATTACGATCCACTAATGCTTTAATCTTTTGAAACAATGGAGGCATCTCTAGTCCTATGGATTTCACTGATCATCAAAGTGTTACTTGTGAGCAGGACGCAGGGTGAGAATTTGTTTGTCTACTTTTTCAGAAACATCGCTTTATCCTACAGGAACAACCATTTCGCTAAAATATTATAATTTTACATTTTTAATATTTCCTGGTTGAATATTTTAGGTGCAGCTCGTTTCACAATAAATCCACCAAGTGTTTCATATGTGTCTGTAGGAAAAACAATCAAGCTCGTGTGGGATTACAGCGTGGATAGCAAGAGGGAAGAGTTTGGTGTTTATTCGCCAAAGTGGATATTCTATGCTGACAATGGCAGTGAATTTATAATTGCACAAGAAAATGTATTCAACCAGGGGCAATGGAACATACAAAAGGCTACATGTCCTGCTAGACTACTGAACCCTGTTCGAGTGAGTAAAGAATCAACTGCTACACTAGTAATCCATAATGTAACTCTGGCTGATAGTGGTACGTATGGATGTGTCCTAATGCTGGCAGCACGAAGCCCCATAACGAATAAAGTCAAGCTCGTCGTAACATGTGGGTATGATTGTTTCAATTTGTTGAAATTGTTGTTCCTGTTTCGATTAGATTCTTTTCTTGTTTGCTTAAGTTTTTTATTTTTATTTTTCAAATTTTGAAATATCTTCCGTAAGTATGTTGTTGTTTTTTTATTGAGGAGAGGATCTCATTATTAGTAAGATTAGGAAAATGGTACATATAT